TCAAGTTTCCGCTAAAGGCATTTCCTCAAGATGATACTATTTTGTTTCCATCGCGCGATTGGTTCTCTATTTGTGATAAAAAAGATATTATGGATATTGATATTAAGTTTGCTCGGTAATCCGCACGCATTATATTTTCCAACGTCAATCAGCGAGTTATTTGACTTTTTCCTGCCTTTTTATACAGAAATGCTCTTTATCAGATACAACAAATTGTCGATGATACAGACATTAAGTTGTGCTACCTGGCGGTTGAGCGCCTTCACGATACGTCAAGGTTTTTTACTGTCTTTATTGACTTTTTTCCTCTTACGCGCATTCATGCATATACTACACATTTATACATGCATATATTTCAGCGGGCGCCATTCTGCGAAAAGTATTATTAAGCGTGATACTATGAATCTCACACTTTGGAACAGTTATGCACAGATAGAAAGATCGTCGAATAGAATTTCAGAGGTAATTAATTATTTGTGAATGAATTGTTAGAATTTCTCTGTCGATATTGACATATATTCATACTTAATAAAGGCGCGTAAAGTATATTTGGGAGCGCTCGGCCAGTATCGTTCGTTTCCCGAACAATTTCGCGATAATGCACCATTATTACATCTTTCGTTTGCTGAAATGGAGCTAGAACAAGGAAGGCATAAAACCGCGATAAGTAGGCTTCTTCCTCTGTCAATTTTCTAAGCGTCGTAGTCTTGATTTTATCTAATCAAACTTTTTTTTTGCAAAGATATTCTTGTAAATTTGTCTGAAGAACAAGGGTCCATAGGTATTTCTTTCAATTGAACAATTAATTTTCTGCGAGATTATCTTATAGTTAAATTTTTGTGCTTAGATTCAATATCTGAGACTGATGTTCCAGTCACAAAATTATTGAGAGCGAGAAAGGTGACTTATTATTGAATTTTCAGGATTCCTTAATGAAATATATCTAATTATGTACATACGTTTTTAGTACTACGCTCAGCAAATTGCAAGGATAACATTTTCCTCAACGTCAAAAAACGATTCGAGTAATTTTTTGCATTATTGTGTATGCTACGCATTATTGGAATGCCTAAGTCAGAATCTGCAACAAGCAAGCAAAGTATTTGAAGAAATTTTACAAGATTTGGACATTAGGATCGGAAATATGAACGTTGAAACAGAACAAATCTATATGGCATATCCTTCGTTTATGGATTTAATTATTTTTAGAAAAAGTTTTGAGTATTCCTTAACTAAATTCATACTTATGCTAAGATGATCTATCGGCATTCTTCCTTACCTTATTTCCGTGAGTCGGGTGACGACTCCGGGGAATTATTGCAAGATGTACTTAACAGGGCTCTGAAATTGTTTCCTAATAATACCGTATTTTTGTCTTTGTATTTTCACGAGGAAGTTTGTGGAAAGATACCGCTTGGCTTTCAAGCATTTTTAAAAGGAGCTTTACACAAGTGTATATTTTTAAATCATTTGTTATTGAACCCACTTGAATTTTTTCACCCGTCTTACAATGTGTTTTGCGCATAATAGAGACCCAAGCCATATTTTATGGACTGTCGCAATCTATGACGAATTACATCGTCAACAACCATATAATATTGATCGTGTAAGATCATTATTCAATAAAGCTTTAGAGTGTTCCGGGTAAGTATAATTATAATTCACCGATTTTTCATAATATTGATCTATGATCTGGAAATCTAATCTTCATTACTGTTATTAGTACAAGGAATTCTGTTTCTTTGTGGAGTTTGTACATGAATTTTGAAATAAATCATGGAGAATTCCATAGAGCAAAAACTTTATATTATAGAGCTGTAAGGGAATGCCCTTGGTCAAAAGGTAGGACTTTATTTCAAGTCATGTTTCTTTGTGGATCTGCTGTCTTTTTGAATGCCAGTTAACAATATGAGCGATTTAGATCTTTACACGATGGCCTTCCGTGAGCTAAAGTCACAATTCAAGGCTGAAGAATTAGATGAAATCATGAATGTGATGATAGAAAAAGAAATCAGGCTGAGGGTTGCAATTGAAATTTTTGATGATGGTACTATACCTGCAAAAGATTTGGACACCGAAGAAGTGAATGACTCTATGGTCGTTGACTAAGGCATCATTTATTAATTTTGGTGCCCGATAATTATTTTTGATTTTTGCAATTTTTGCATTAGATATAATGTCTAATAATTTGGTACTAAAATTTAACATTAGATTTATTTTTAATATATTGTAAATTAATATTAAATTCTATGATAAATTTTTTAATATAGGTATTGATAAAATTCTAAATATTAAAAATCAATAAAATAAAAATATTGTGTATACAGTATAAGTTACAAATTTAGAAAAATATTATATACCGTACATATTTGTTTTTTGTTTTTTTTATTTCAATTAACTGTACTAGTATTACGGTAGCTCACAAAAATAACCGATCACTAAAATAAATAATGTTAAATATAAATAAGTTAAATAATAATTTATA